ATCAGTATTTTTCCTTCGTGCAAACAATTATAAGATAATTTCCCAATATATCTTAACTAGCAGTGAGATATGGAATAATCCGGCATTTGCAACAAGTACATCCTGCAATAAGCAAAGTGAAGGGACTTACGTTACAGATGTAGTAGTACCTTTACTTCGAGCTGCTCTAGGGGGTCTGCCAAATAGTCATATTTGTTTAAGTACTGCAGAACGCCAGAGTTTGGCAAGTAAGGCGCGCAGAAACATTGGAACAAGTAAAGAGCGAATGGGAAAGAAGCCTGATGTGGAGTACGAAAAGAAAATAATTGAGATTTTATATGTTGAGTGTTCACGTATCGTCTGCGATGCCACGAAAAAAGCAGATGATGATACAAAGCTTTGGAGAGAAACATTAGATGGTGTAAGCTTTGTAAGCGCGGTATGTAGACCAACTAGTAATCAGTTCGGTATTGTTGGGATTCAGGTAGGTGGTGAGAGTAGAGTTAATACCTGCATCCGGATTTAATGATTAAATCCGGATTTGATGGCTAAATCCGGATTAATGATTAAATCCGGATTTAATCATCAAATCCGGATTTAATATTAAATCCGGATTTATATTATAATAAATAATTTCGTCTTTTTAACCTTTACAAGTAATGCGAAATTACCAATCTAATTTCTTTTTGCTTCTACATGATTTCTCAAGTAACACGATAGTATTTGTCCAGTGTCGAGTTGAACTTTCTGTTCAAAAGTTATAGTCTGTCAAATGATCGACTTTGGGGTATTTATTTTTACTTACGCATTTTATAATTAATAAAGTTTTTGCGAAGCATGATTTGTTGTTACAGCACATGCTCTAAAATGTATTTCATGATTTTTTTTGATTTTTTTTAGTAATTTTCATCGTAACTAACACGTTTCAAATTGTTTTAATTAGATTTCCGTAAATTTTGTCCTTTCTAATGATATTTGCTTAAATGCAATGACTATTGAAGTAAGTGTAATTCTTTCATTTTATATTTAATGGGATTTCCTTTATTAGAGGGCGAATGAAATTACACACAGATTCATGCTAATGTGCTATTTTTTCCTTAGTAATATATCGGTTTATTGTAAGTCGGACCTTGATAAGTGCAGTGCAATCTAAGGGACGATTAAAAAAAAAAATATACTTTTTTTACTTTAAGGTAAGGGTTAATAAAGACTTTAACAACTTGGGGCTTGGGCAAATAGGGTTTGTGCTTAAGAAATCTGTGCTTAGAGGAGTATGGTCTATAATAAAAAAATTGTTGCACTCAGGAAAGCTAAACCAATAAGTAGTTTTATAATTGAACTTCGTTAGGAGTATTCCATATCTCACTGCTAGTTAAGATATATTGGGAAATTATCTTATAATTGTTTGCACGAAGGAAAAATACTGAT